GTGATCATAGTCTTGACTCCAGCGCAACTCTAGCTACATGTCTTACTTCCATCGTAGTTAATCCTACACACTCAAAACAAAACTTCGATCGAGACAATTAATCCTAAGCGATTAACCAAGTTGTCCGGCATGTCATTGGTCCCTCGACGCTTCGTCCGATTCTTCGGCGCATCGTCCTTTCCTACGGCCTATTGCCCAATCGGCCAGTTAGCTCCGTAACTCCGATATCCTTGGCACAATACCCGCTCTTCTTGGCCCGATGCCCGAGTCCACGGCCCGAAGCCTTCTGTCGATACGTCGACCGATCCACCGGCCCGACGTCCAATCTTCTGACATGTTCCTCCGGCACAACATGATGTTACTGCTTTAATTGTCTCATCCTGATCGAAGCATCCTGCGTTACTCAAAACGCAGATTAAATCATAAACATATATCAAGTAGTTTCATCATCAAAATACGAGATTCAACAAATATCGTTGTAACTTTTGAATCAAATGACAATATACTTTTATAAATCAATACTATTATAACTTTCGAATCGAATAACGATATACTTTTTGAAATAACATCGATAAGTATACACACCTAAACCTCGATTTATAACTATTTGATTTTAATTTTTGATATTAATTTTTTTACAAAAATATAATTATAATTTTATATTTACAATTTATATTTAGAAACAATACACTCATCCAGCGGTCAATACTAATTGAAGAAGCAGCCAGCTTTTGGACTCGGTGTGTTTTGGGGAGGCACAAAAGCACAAATTAGATGCGAATTTTAAGTGAATTATGAAAATATAAATAAAGTAAATAAAATTTAATGTAGCTATATATCTTATATAAATCTGCATCAAAGAAATGTTGGCGATTGCGTCGAGGCTACTCTTCCCCATCACTTGCCGACTCAATACACAACCAGACATCAATTATAGTGTCATCATAAGTCCAAACGTACGTCGTCCAAAAGCCATGATCATTGTGGCAATGTCATAGATCTTTTACATGGTATTAGTTGAACCTACAAATTTATATGCTGATTTGCTGTAATGATCAATCATTAATTGAACATTTTATCTCTGCAGGTACGACAGAGTTGTCTGAAAAAAAATGGCATCCTATTGCCTGACTTCTCTAAACTCTTGCTTCAAGACACGGAGATTTTGCAGCCTCTTCAGTAAAGTAAAAGTGATCCTAGTCGGTTTCCGTAAGTACTAGGATGAATGCATCCTTCAGATGGCAGTTTGAAGCTGCCACCCTGCAAGACATGAGGTCGAAATCCCCACCAGATCTGACGTAGACATCAAAAAAGAACAACTCAGCTTAACTTACACCAAGCCGATGAACAATAGATAAGTCGATGGTGGTTCTGTATGAGTTTTTGAAGTGCTTACGGGTCGAACACTAATCCACCAGCTTCATGAACAATTACAGCTCCGGCTGCCACATCCCTGTGGGTAGAAATTGATCAAACAAAATTTTGTTTAACATCAATTTGTAATGCTTTGATTATTGCAGTGAATACCATGGGCCGCCAAATCCAATCTCGTAGCACAGATCAAGCCTCCCACACGCAATCCCACAAAGGTTCAATGCAAGAGAACCACACATCCTAAGAGACCTTACCTGAGTAACAAAAAAATTGAATGAATTGTATTATTCACGACATACATCTAGAATACATGACATTTACCTTGAAAAGTAAGTTATTGATTCTGTTAGTTGTCGCATCAACAGTTGATTTATCACGCTTCGTACCAACCTGCAAAGTTGTTGGTCTTGTCCATCAAATTGCACGAGCAAAATAGTTACATGATTATAGTAGACGATACACAACTTATCAACTACTAGGTGAAAGAACACCCAACATTGTAAACTTAAATTGTCACAAGTAAGCCCATGCCATTAAATTTTTACAATCTAATATGTCATAGCTAGTGATCATGAATTGTCCAACAAAATCTTACCTGTAAGAGAGACAATAGGAGAAGTGACAGAAAATACATACACACATCATATATAATCAAAACTCAAAAGAACAGAAAAGAATGGATTGTTACTTTTAAGATCTCTGGACCCACACATATCAGATGATCTAATACATTTTTTGTTTCAGTAGACACACGGCATCAGTTTGATTTTTATCATCCTATCAAGTTGGAAAAGGACAAAAAATATAAATGTATGGTATAGGCATAACATATAAGGACACATTTCACACTTAATTTGCAGATATAATATGAAAGTATGGTACCGCAAAACATTGTATACTATGGCACATCAGCTGACTGGCATGAGCATGATATCATCTACTTCATTGGGCCATGTTATGGAATGCAATGAACAAAAACGTAGTTAGCTTCATGATTCACCAAAGCAACTGACTTAGATAATAACAATCACAGGAGTGAAAGTAGCAGGCAGACCAAACTTTTTTCATGAAATAGATCATTTCAGGCAAAACTATATGAACTTTTCTAAACACATTCTATATGTATGTTGGTTTTCAGCCCTCTTTACCATGCAGAATATTTGCAAAGCAGTTGAGCATGACCCAGAAGCTCATTATGTAGGAGGTTTATTTGTTCTATCACCTGACTCCTATCAAGTAGTACATCCTTCTCTCACCAAAACCTAAAAAGTTCTTCCTTTTAGATAACTGCAATATATCTTTTGGGACACATTTTCCCATGCAATGAACTAAAACATATGTCAATAATGCTCAGACACCTGGGCATCATTTGTTTTCTCATCGAATTTCAAAAACTTGTTCATTACTTAATATTCTAATTAAAATTATTCACCACCACTAGAATTATGCCATAATGTCGATGAGCAATCAATTTGTACCAATGATATAATAGCTGTATTCAGAATAATTTATCAAGTTATTAAACTGTGTGAACGAGCAGTTACTAGCATGCCCTTGCATTTGTTTGACCATAACAAGTTCTGGCAGCCAGGCTGCCCTAAATAAACGTTACTCAAAATCATTGAATAGACATTTTACACTCAGCCAAAACAATTTCCCTTCTGTCTTCTTAGCTACTTCTTAGCGTGTTGCTCTGTTCTCGGCCCTGAGAAAGATGATTATTTATCCTAGTTCACATCAGAAACTGGCATAAACCATTGGTGGAAACAAGGTTTGCCAGAAAATGTGTCCATAAACAACAAAAGGTATGCATTTTCAGAGTAGCTATAAACATATATTTCATTGCTGAAGGATACAATCCAAGTAAGATCATACAAGCATTACATACCTCCGTCACAAGGAGAGCCTTCAAAAGTTCACTTTGAGATGAAGCTGCAAAAATCAGATTCTTTAGCTTCACAATTTGATATTAAATATGGTATATTTCGTTTAAGGTTTAGTATTCCTCAAATCTGGAAAACCAAAGGCTATGATAGCAATAGATCAAGCCAGGTTTTGAAGGTTCCAAACCAAAAATTGAGATATACCTTTTATAGGATTTCCATTGAGGAAAGCACCTTGTCCACGAACTCCAGTAAACAGCTGCATATAATTACAGACACAAGTTATTTTACATGTTCTCCTGTTAGAGGCATAGTAGATGCAAAGTTTACAACTATTCTTCGTGTCCAGTGTCTAATAGATATGATCAAGGCATTTGGGGATTATGAAATTAGTTGTACAAGCCTAATAAAAATAGATGTCAGAATTTTTAAAGTCTGACATGCTAGTGACAAGACATATGATATAATGTTAATAACGCATTCAACACTTTGCAAAGACATATCAGGTAACAAGACTCGATAAATTTTCAGTCGCAAGTCTTAGCAACTATGTGATTTGTCTATATTGCTTCCCTAATAGTAGTTATGTAAGGTTATATGCTAGCTACATGATTTCAAAAATAAAAGAAAAGGCCCGCTTTTTGTTTCATTCACATCTAAAAAGGGAAAATGTGCATCTCATCTGAAGATCTTGAACCCTAACTATAACAATGTTGTTGGACAAACATCATACATCTGGCCATTATATTGATGTAAAATAACAACAACAAATATCACAAGCAGGGTGTCACTAACTTAATAAGCAAAACAAAATAATTTCTTTTTTTCTTCTTCTCTTTTATTCAAGTTTTAGTGCAAAATGACATACCTCACCAATTATTGGATTGTAAACAACACCAACAGTAGGAACCTTTCCAATAGCAAGACCAATGGATACACAGACAAAGGGGAACCTGTAGGTAATTACTGTCAAAAGAAAGAAAACAAGCGATAATGAGAGACGATCAATAGCTATGTTGCTTCAAATATTACCCATGGACAAAATTAGTGGTTCCATCAAGTGGATCAACAATCCAGGTAGGCTCATCAGTTAGCTCAGCAGTACCAAAGGCAGCAGATGTTTCTTCACCTATGAACTGTACAACAGGAAATAATCATGTGCCATGATGTTCCACTTGGCCCCAAAAGGAAAGGAAACATAGTGCTTTTAATAATGCAAACACACGTGAGATATACCTTGTGATCTGGGTAGTGCTTTTTAAGGTGATTGAAGATGAGCTCTTCACATGCCTTATCAGTTTCAGTAACCAAATCCACCTGCATTGAACCAATGGTTTCATCATCATTTCAGACTCTTACAAGCACATGAAAGATTTGTGCAGTTAAATGTTTCAATCCTGGCTGACGATTGACAGACCCAGTTCCACATATTATTCAAGGATCAGACACCAGTAGTTACCATAAGATTCTTGACACTCAAACAGAATTCTCCTTCAAAATAAGCAAACGATTTAGGCAGAAGTTTTTCTGTGATGTAATCTCTGAATCTTGGATTTTTCAACGTGTTACATAGTGCTTCAAGGATGTAATGGGGCTTGGGTCAAGGGGTTCTACTTGGGAGGCAAAAGAGGTTGACTTGCCTTAGAAATGAAAGTATGCATCTCCATATGCGTATGCATGTTTCTACATCACTATATGTATCCATGTAAATTTATATGCAAGATGGCAATGCAATTGGTTCCAAACACTAGGGACATGCACAGAGATGAAATAACATTTTGCATGAACGCTTTGGTGAGGTGTCATATTGTCCACCTGCATTTTAATTTGCGTAACATGTTCTTGGTTTTTTCTCTCCGTGGGTTTCTGTTACCTAGCTCCCACATCAGAATAGACCGAAATGCTAAAAACTGATACACAAATTTTATCGCCATTGGATGGTGAATGGTGGAGCATCTCTCCCCCATGAGAAGGTCCAGGATTCAATCCCTATCTTCTGCGACTAGGCCCCTTTTGTAGGTTGTGGACTTGAAGAAACTAAATGGATCTCGTATCCTACTTGCGGTCTTGGATTTCCTTGCATGACGAGACTTTGTTGATGGACAATGGGCAAATGACCCGTGAATAGGTGGGAAACAATTTTCCCACACATTCTCGTAAGTTCGATTGCAGCATCCACGATAATTGCACATCCAAGCAATTCTTTATTGTGTTTGTTCGTTGTGCCCTTGGAGAGGAATAAGATGAAAAAGAGAAAGCACCTGGCCTTTGTGCTCCACATGCTTCGTCTGGTAGAACCCCTTGCGAATGACCTGATCAAGAATTCCCGAAGAGAGAAAGATTAAATATCTACGACACGAACGGGAGACAATGATACGAAAAACCACGGGCCGATCGAGGGTTCTTGGGATCGATTACCTCCCCGGCGCTCTTTGCGGCGTCCACCGCCACAGCGAGGAACTCCGCGAGGATCGAACCGTCTGCAAATCCAATCAAGAACAAAGTAAAGCGATGCGTCAGAAGAGTGGATCGACGACGTCAAAGATTCAAGAAAAAGAAGGGGGAGAGGGGTGGGATTAGGGCGTGGGATGCGCACCGTTGCTCTCGCCCATTGTTGGGTTGTTTTGTGCCTTCGCCTGCGAGAAACTAAAGCAGCGAGAAGGAAGCGATACCATTTACTTCGATGTGAATGGCCTCAAATAAAGAAACGCGACGACGAGAGCGGAACCGGAAGGGAGGGTGGCGGCGCATATTCCCGTGCTGTGTTGGCGATCCGTCCGGCTCGGCTGTGAGGCGTCAAAGAGCGTCCAGCTTTCACGACCTCACGTTTCCGCTGGGGCCCACTAGAGAGGCCTCGTCCAGGCATCCTGCTCATGTTCAAACAGCGAACAGTTCTTTCCATCAGAGATTGACCGGGCCCCGCTCGAGCCTAACGGACTTTATGACGTGAAGAAAGCCGGACCCTGTCGTCGATCGGACAACCAACGCGCTGGGCCTGCTCCGAGTGCTTCGGTTGTCGGACGGCAGGCAACTCGACACGTCGTTTTGGTGGGGCCATGATTCTTTATGACGCCTTTTCCATCGCATGATTCCTGCGGACCGTGTTCGCAGCATAATTCCCACCCACCTCCCAAGCATATGCCCTCCTCGACCCATCCCGTCGCCTGTTCGAACGCGAGGTCTCGACCCATCTCGGCCGTCCAACCCACTTCCAGACCAGAACTTCCCAATCTTGATGCAAATTAAGTATATGCCCGATCTCCCGAACAATCTCACGAGACCAAAGAGTCCCCATGAACGTGTAACGATTGAAGCCACGTGTCCTGTGCATCATTTCGTGGAACAGATATCGAATGGGTAATCTAATCCCCATAAAGTACCTGATAAGTTTGTATTGCGTTCATCGTCATGGATGCATGCACACCAAATACTGGTAATTTGGTTCTTTGCCTACAAATTTAATGTAACAATCGCTGCTATCGTCGTTGCTCATCTCAGCCATGTGCTGCAGCACATCATCCTGACGTACAGCTGAATCACCCATCATGAAATGTGGGAATTGGGTGCTGTGAACTCCTCCCACACGCTTCTAAGATCTAATTTCCAATCTTGATCTAAGCTAAATTTGTTACTTGTTCCAATATGACCTTCTTAAATTGGTCCAAATAATCGTATTAAAGACAATTCTAGTGATGCCCGCAAGATTCTGCTTGCTGATGATCTCCTTCCCCACATGAATGTTCATTTGTGGAGGTGGAGCTCTGCCTTCAATTAATGTCCATGGCTTTCCCTTCACCCTCGTTTCCTTGCCACAGCCAGTTCATCGTTCTCTCTGCAACACCCTCTGATGCAGGGACTGCAGTCGATAGGTGGCGAGAGCAGCATCTTGTCCTCTGTCCTCACCCCCTTCTTCCCTGTCGACAGCCTCTTTGGATTTGGGCAAACAACAGGAAAGAAACAGCAGAATCCACCACACCTTGTTCGTGCATACACCTGAGCTTGACTGCCAAGGAATTCAGATATCTGACGAAGAAACTTGACCAACAACGATCTCATTTAAGCTGCATGAGTATATGACTTTATGTTACAACGCACAAATCAGCCTCTAGACTTCAATTCTCACTCCGTTTACCTATTTGAAGGCAACAAGTTCATGTACAGAACTGGAACAGTCTCCATCTGGAAGTCTTCAAAGCTTACGATCCAATGCCAAACATGAGGAGGATAAGGGAGAAACAGTGCTGCGATGTGATCAGAACTAGAAGAAGGAGCGTTTGGATGGAGCTCTTCCCACAGCTCTCAAAAAGTTGCCCAGTTCAAATGCCTTGGCGACCTTGGTTCCCCTCTTGGCCTCCGCCGACGCCCGCTTCTCCGCCGCCTTCTGGTGCGCTTTTGCCACATCGTTCTGCATCTTCTCCATTGCCCTCGCCCGCTGCTCATCCAGTTTCCTCTGTTCATGCAAGAAAAAGGAAGCATGGGGTCGGCTGAGAGCTGCGTGATCTCGATCGATTCAGCAGCAGAGCGTGATCAGGGTTGGTGATTGATGGCATACCTCGATCTTCTTCAACCGAGCCGTGGCTTTCTCGACCTGCTCGCTCTCCCACCCGTTGATGATCGCCTCCTCGCGCTTGAAGCGGTTGTTGATCTTGGCGACCTCCGCGGTCTGCCACGCCGATATCTTCGACTCCACCTCTTCCTTCTTCACCAGATGCACCCGGACCTCGTCGGCCGAACTGGAGGCGGCAGAGTCGATCTCAGGCGGAGGGCGACGGGGTGACGGGAAGGGGTTGTTGTCGGGGACGATAGCCAGCGGGTTAGTCTCCTCCAGCTCGTCTTCCCCGATCCTAGCGAGCTGGTTCTGAGGCCCGTCGTCGACGTTGCCGCCGTTACCACCGTCGTTCGGCATGGTGGAACCGGCAACGACCATGGCGTTGAACTCCCTGCTCATGGTCGTGAAGCCCTCGCTGGCGGCGTCGCTCCCTATGGAGAGGGAGGATGATCGGTGGCTGCCGCCCTCCCAGAGCTCTCTCCGGCGGCCGCGGCTGGGGTGGGAAGGGGGTGTTAACGCGTGGATGTCGCGGAATTCGGCGCTGTCGCTGGGGCCTTCTTCATGCTCAGCAGCAGCAGCAGGAGCAGGAGCAGCAGCGGAAGCGCGGTGCCTATGATCATTCAACATGTCCAAGTCAGGATCCTGCAGAGGGAAGAGATCAGTAGGAAGTATAGGAATAGCGGGTGGATAAGTCGTGGCTGAGCAACCATTAGATTCCCGTAGCCTCTTTGTTGGGAGACGACCAGTGTAGCCGTTGATTTATGGCGTCGAATCAACCAACTGCATGCTTCCTGCAGCGATGGTACTAAAGCATATATATATATATATATCTATATATATATATCGAGTTACATGACCTACTTATTAATGATGCATACCATGGAAGACTTACCTGAGGAGCTCAATGACATTGACTTGTTCATTGGACACATCGACGTTCGTCTGCTATAATTACTTTTACGATCACTGCGTTGTCGGTGGAATCAGTACTCGTCCTTAATTAGCTGCAGTGGGCCGACGATTCATTTATTGGATCCCTCTCCTTAATTGACTGCAATAACTGTGTCTTTCCTCTCCCATTCTGTACGTGCGTGCGCGCGTGTGGACCAGGGCAGGTCGTGCACGCAAGGGGGGTGGGGGGGCTGCGTTCGCCGGGCAAGGGCGGTGGGATGTGACGCCATGGCTGTCGAAACGGGGCACTCGGACGCGCACACCTACCTCTCGTCTCCGGAAGCAGCCCCACGGCGCACGACGTTCCACCGCCCCCACCGTGACAGAAAGCCACATGGCTCGCGACAACGAAGTAGGGATCGCTTATCTCTTCTTCTTCCTCCTCTCGTCGGTTTGCTGCAGACCCAATAGTTCTGGACCACCTGGGTAGGGGTTCGATGTGATGTGCGCTTCGTGTGCGTGCAGTGTTTACGTCGGAAATAATAAACAACGAGTGCAGTGCGAATACGTGTACACCGACTCGGGAGACGTACTTGTCACACGTTTCCTGTGTGACATACTCGAGAGGGCCACCTCGCTGCCATCTGTAGGAAGCATGGACACGACTTGGCGTGGAGGGCACCGAGTAGAAGGTTTAATCGCTTGCCATCACCGTCAGTGGTACTATTGATTTATCACGTTACACACTTTGGCCAGTTTGCGGATTTGCGACTGAGAATTACTACGTTCCTATTGATTTGTCACGTTACACACTTTGACCACTTTGCGACTGAGAATTACGACGTACCTGTGTGGTCTGCATCACATCTCTCAGGTGGAATTCTACTCTGTCCGTGATCATCACTTGGTCTGCGCGACACTTGGAACACACTAGTGGTTATTTTACTTGTCACCTCTGCTTAGATCGGTATCCCGTGCCTACTCCATGAGTGGGTTCTCCTTTTGCAGTTAAATTGATGTAGTCATCTCGATAGCGGTCACAATCAAAACATAAGAAACACTGGGCTTTTTGTTTGCTCTACATGACACCCAAATGCTAAAGGAGACCCAGAAACCGAGGATCATATTCACATTTGCAGAAGAGTTTAGCACAGTAGAGTAGTGACTGAAGCAGCACGGAAAAGATCGAGACTATGATACATCCAAAACTCAGAGATATCGATCTGAAATTGCAAAGCAACAAGAGTCTATGGGCGTCAAGATAAATCAGGCACAACCATCAATCTTTTGTGTAATAATATTGACACACTGTGGCTATAATTCAAGTCAATTTACACTATAAGAAAAATCAATATCAGACTTTTGACTACATTAAGACAGTTAGAGCATCAATTGAGCTGTTTCTATCCTCCGTAATCTTTCACACCAGCAACACCAGTTATTAAATATCTAATGTAGCTCGCTCCAAAGGCCAATCTGAAACTGGTTCATCGAGAAAGAAAAAGACGGCATAAAACTACTTAATTTGATCTTTAAGTATACATCCAGCTATGCAGACCCTCTCCATCAACTAAAAGTGTCGAGAGCCCAAGGCCAGTGGAGTGGTCGTGGAACAAGGCAAAGGCTACCTTGGAAGCCTCGTATAACAAGTTAGAATTAGTTTGACTTTGATGAAAAAGGGTCAACTGCTGGCAACATCTGATTGCAGCTTTGATGCGTCAATGCTGCTGCTCAATTCAGATAAGAATTCAGGCCCGTATCTTTGTTTCAATTCTCCCTGTTCCAGTAAAGAATTTCAAAGCTGTCTTAAAAGCAATATACACAACATAGAGAGAAGTTAAAAAAGATTAAATGTATTTCTAACACAAGCACCATATCATTTTAAAAATAAGGAAAAAAAAGAAAACCATGATAGGGATTTTTGGGCCAACATATACGGCAACGGCTCACAAAAATAATCGTAGATTACAAATAGATTTAATTAATGCACCAACAAGCCATAATCGCTCAATACCATGCAACCATAAGGCTTGCATACTGAAAATTTCTCCATGACCATGATAATACACGTTGCTTATTGAAGCTTAAAAAGGAAGCACAGAGCTGCAGTCATATTGGTCAAAAAATAATTAAAATAAGAATTACTAGTAAAATCAACTTTACAATAACAAAAGCTGATTGTAGAGAAAGCATATATATGGGGTTGAGTTAAATACAGAACAACCCAATGAGACCTAATTCTTCATGAGCAACAGGCTTTATTTGATACTTGTATAATAACCAAAAATTATGCATACCCAAAATAATATTACCGTGGGACTGAAGGAATGCTAGTTAGATTAGAGCTTCCAAAAGTCTTAACAATTAAAGAATAGATGAACCAACACACACGCACGTAGAAAGAAAAAAGATTGCACATTATGTTGTATATGGAAAGAATCACTTATGCACGTGCCATATTCTGGTCACAAAGACTGTTACTAAGATTGTGTATGAGATAGTGTGAGCCCCACCCCCACATGTTAATTGTTGGCACATAACAACAAATGATTATTACATCCACATTGCACATTATATAATTTTTTTTAGTTGTAAAATGCCTGATCAAGAACATAAGAATTGAATTTTAAATGATATGTAGGAGACTATAATCTGATATACTTAAAAAATATACTATCAAAAAGGTGCCCAACTCTTTTTGGAGGCCATGATTGGTCCATAGGACTGATACAGGATATATGTATTATGTAGCAAACGTGCCCCGGATTAACAATTATAAACAATTTAGATTATACCTGACAGGTATATGACCTGTCTGGATGATATTTGGGTCTATTCCAGGTCAACAGGTAAAATGACAGTCTTATTCAAATATACACTACCAATAATAAAACCACTAACCGTGATTGATTTATTTTCAGCTTCCAGTTCCCCACACAATTTCTGGAGGTTTTCAAGTTCTACTCTGAGTGCGCTGTTCTCATTGTTCAAATCAGTCACTCTCCTTGCCAACTCTTCACATTCTTGCTGACAAAGGAGGATGATAAAAAAAGAGAGATTAGTATTCAGATGATTACAACATCATGCACCCATCTCACTCCAAGGTTAAAGAAAAAGAACAAAACACTGTTTTCAGTACAAACCACCTAAATATGACCATACAGCAACCAAAGAAACTAAAGAACTACTGAATCATGAAAAAAAGAAAAAATCTCAGAGTGAAGCTGCACAGAGAGTCCATATATCAAGTTATTATATCAACATCATGTTAATATACCTCAACAATAGTCTAAAGAGGAGCATTACCTGTGTAAAAGTCCCCTTTGAATCGTTATTGACAGTTATAACAGAGATGATACTCAACAACCGAGTAAAACGCATAATGGGCTCTATCCAACATCTAAAACCAAAGATATTAGGAAAAATAAAGAATCAAAAGTCCAGAACTGAAAACTAATGGGCTTAGTTACTAAGCCAAATTTCACTACATTGTAAACGGGAGTAGTTTTTAGAATTGTTGAATAGAAACAGATGCATCTTATTGAACTAATACAGCTTTATCCCATATATTATCCTAACAGTTGAACAATTAAGTGGTAGGCGTTGACAACCATAAGAGTGGAACTACTAAAACTCTTAGAACTACTCAAACAAACAGTTGCAGGTAAGTATAAATGCATTGACATGTATGTTATACTTGGACATCGACCAATCTAAAAGTTATGATCAGTGAAAGAAATGGACCTTTTGTTTTTGGGGCATAAATGCTGTAACATATATAATGGTAATTCTTAACATATCGCAATTTTAGAGAACGGAGCACTAGCTGAGAGGAGGATTGCATTAGGTATATGACAACTTGCATCAAACTTCACTAGAACAAACATGAACATGGACTTCTACTGAAAAACCATTGACAGAGAAAACATCAGAGAGCAACATATCACATAACCAAAAAGGTTTATGCAACTTTGAACCAAGATTAAAAAAATATAGGTACAAAGTAGGCTTTATAAATAAAAAAAAATTTAAAGAATCAGAGACAAAATAACATTATGAAATTGAGTCAGAAGAATAAAGACAATGTTATAAAAAAATACAAACTTATCTACACATGCCAGTTGTTAAATATTTTGCAAAGAACCAGGTCTACAATAAGAAAATAACAATATGACCATGTTGACTGGAACAATAACCAACCATAATGTATACCACGTAATGGAAATAATGTCTGAATATCAAGAACATAAAAAGGATAAGAAAAATAGATGATATGATGCTTTATCTGCTATACAATCAAAACAATTGGAAGCATTTTCTGAATCTCCCTACAAAGAGTTTTAGCAGTATTATTTTCTTTCTCTAAACAAGCAGCCAGAAAATGGTAGAAAGAAGGGGTGAAAAGAATAAAAATGATGAGCCAAAAAAAATAAAACCCTAACCTAATCTAACAGAATGACCATAGTTATAATTTCTCTACCCTTTATGACCCAAGCACTTAGCCCAAGTAATTATCTTGGAGGGAGATGAAACCCTCCATTATTCTGTTAAAAATTAATAAAACATACAAGCATATCAGTTTCGTTGTCAACAAATTATAATCTTGGCTACCTGAAGCACAACAAGGCTATCAAGATGTGCTCTCCTGACAAGTCAATAAGTAAAAAATATTTGTCGTATATTTTCCACTTAAGCAAGCCCTGATATGTCACTAAGTGAAAATGTATGTTGTACTTTCCACATAAGCAAGCCAGTCAAACCCTCTTGTTCACCTTAGCAGGAAACTAGGAAATAAAAATTAAGATTAAAAAAACAAAAGAAGTGATTCATTTTCTTTTTTCAGTACATAAAATGATGTTTAAGTTGCCTAAAGCATACCTGCTTCCTTAACCTTGACCTCCTGGCAGACTCCCGATTAGACTGTTTTCTTCTCTCCCGCCTCAGGTCACGTTCGTCCTGCAATATACTACTGATCAGTGAAAATTGAAAAAAAAAAACAAAAAACAAAACAAAAGGAAAGGAAAGAGAGGATAATCATTTAGGTGACAATTTTTGCTGGATGCTAGATACTTCAGATATGCAGTTAAATCAAGCATGAGACAATGTCCATGATGTAATAGACTAGTCATTTGCTAGATCCACTGCTGTTCATGCATGACCTGCTCCGGCCTATCATTACTGGTCCAGAATTCAAGGCACTAGACCCCACCTTTGAAGGTACAGATCCAGCAGGGGAAGCACCCCAAAAGTCCATCCCGATATTCAAATTAGTTGGAGGACCACGCAATGCTGCTCGTCCTGGGGCTGAGACTGGAAGCTTTTTGGCAGTCCGCACTCTTCCAGCAGTACCGCTATTACCAGCAGTGTCAAAGGAATGAGAACCTTCACCTGAGCAAAACCTGTAGGAATGAGAATCATCGCAGAGTTGCCAATTGATGAAGACAATAGTCATCTACCACAGAACTTACCTTCAGTTGTATTTCCATAACTTCTTTTTCTGTTTGGGGAATGTTCCTAAATATTCGAGAAAGCTTAGTGTTAAGAAAAATGAGTGAAGTACTCCACACACTTACAACAAACAAAGAACCCAACTAGAAAGATTATTGATAAGAAACCAAGCTAGAGCTGTACTCAACCACAAGAGAAACATACTGACACATAAACAAAAAGAAAAATCAGCCACATATGTCAGCATGTAACATTGCCTGAAGAATTTGTCTATCAAGTGGTGCAAATTTAGAAAGAACCTATATGTTTCTTAGTGTCACCACCAATGAGGTGACCGGTCAACAATCAACAAGATAACAACCACAATAAAACTGAGAGATTTGCTTACCTTTGGTTGGTCATAGTCTTCTTTAGTATCTGATGACCCGTCTGTTTCACTGTCATCACTGCCCACAAGATCAGATAGTTAACAAAAAATTCAACAAACTATACAACTAGCACGAGTTCAGCTAGCAAAGCTGACCTCTGCGAGGCATTCTCACCAGCACCAGAGGCCCTTTTACCATCATTCCCTGATTTTCCTGGTGATCCCTCTAAAATTTTGGAAGTCCTCTTGCTCGTCGGCTGGTTGTCCTTCGCCTCTGTCGGCCTCCCTTCGGTTTCCCGGGTTCGAAAAGCCACGCCCTAAGAAGTCATCAGCACGAAAAAATATCCTCCGTCACGAACCCAATTTTAATTTGACAACAAGGGTAAGGACAAAAAAGGGTTAAGGAAAGACACTCGAGATAGGTTTACCGCATTTATCGGAGGCTGAGCATAAAAACCCCCTTGCGGATAGAACGAAGCGTAAGCAATCGGACTGCCGTAGGGCGGCATCACTTGCTGGATATATAATTACCCCAAAACAACCACGAAAAAATAGGTAAATAATTGATATTTAATCTGCAGATAAACTTTTTCCTGTGCAACCCCACCAACCCACGCACCGAGAAAGATTAAGCAACGAACCTGAGCTCCCCAAACGACAGGCTGCGCGGTTGCGATGGGTGACGGGGAATAGAAAGCCTGGGGCATCACGGCGGCAGCGGCGGCTCCCCGGTCGTAGAAGGCCTGAAAGGAGGCGGACCATTCGGGGGGGACCAGTGCAGTTGCCGGCGGCGCCGCCTCTCGTGGGGCCTTGGAGGAGGTGGAGGCGGAGCTGGCGCCCGTCGTCCTCTTTTCCTTGGGCGAGCCCATGGGCATTGAGGGTAAGCTTTAATCGCGACACGTGGACACCACACGAGCAGCGATGCAGAGCGGGAGGAGGGGCGAGACGGTGGCGAGTAGGAGCTTGACTTGGCAACGACGTGAGAGAGAGATCTGAGCTAGGGTTTCATTTAAGAGTGTGTCCGACGCGGGGATAGAAGGCATCCACAAAGAGCCAAATAAACTTTACACCCAATCGTTACGGGAATATCATACTCGATGACGTGTCAACGAGTGCGGCGTTAGAACTGGAAATTGCTGCTTAAATGGAAGTAAGCGCCCTCGAGACGACGCGTGGGACCCAAACGCCGGTCAGGTTCCACAGGACTGACATCACCCGTGAGGGGGCACGTCAAAAACAAGCAGCGTGAGGGTCCCGTTCAATCGGTCACCGCCTGAGGCACCAAACAGGAAAGAGGCCCTTCTCATTGGCCGCAACTCCCGCGGGGGCGGGGCGGGGCCCGATGAAGCAAGAGAAACGGCTGGGAAACGTTTGTCTCTGTTCTTGTAGGCGTAAGGAAAGCGCGTGTTTTATTGCGTGTACTTACGACACTGCTCGATTTGGAAACAGAGGGAAAGAAAATGGAGACGGAGTGGGAATGAGCGTGAACTGATGGAATATATGCGTACCTGCCGCCGAGTCGTTCTTCCCCTCGATTGATGCACATGTATTTACGACAATACCTTCCTGTATTTACGACATTATCAGTGAATAATTAATAATTCAAGAGGAAATTAGAAAAAGCTATCAAGATGGAACGAAAATAATTGTTTGATCAACATACCCAATATTTCATCCAAGTAAAAGAATCATATTACATATCGTAATTCCACGTACTCTCAGCAATCAACTTTGGAACTTTTTGTAGCTCTGCTAAATTGACAGTTGCAGATATCTGCACAGCAAATTAAAAGAACAAGATATCTGTTATACAATAAAGAGAATGGCGATACTAACAGAGAGATAAGTGGATTAAATGACTAACATATTGTTAATTTTACACTAACCTTTTAAGAAGTAGAAAAAAAGAAACCATGAAAATTCAGAGGTGATGATTATTTGATGAACAAGGAGCTTCTAGTTTGTAAGATAAGATATATGATTCAACAATCATCAAAATGAAAATTGATCTGAAGAGACTAGTTAAATTGAACAATACACTATAAAGATAAACGCATGGTAGGATTCGAAGAGGTACATGAAACTACAAGGGCAGCAAATTATCAAGATACTTGATATCGTTACAATTAAAGAAGTTAACCATATAACATAATGATCTCATGGCAATTTAAATGCCAATCTGTCGCCTTCATGACGATGTGCTCAGCCGTGCATGTCTAAGGGCCACGTGGTGGTGTAGCCAGTGTGCGTTCGCTGAGAGGTCAAGGCACTCTCGCTCGGCTGTAGATTGAGCAATTGTCAGTGCAGACCTGTATCATGCAGATTTTGCATCTGACCCAAATTGATGCCAATTAGATGAATAAGAGAAGTAGACTAAGAGTTGATAAAAACTTTAATTGCTTCCAATGTGACCAACCTGACTTTTACTTGATCACCAAAGCTGACAAATTCATCAAAATCCATTCTACTAACCATATAACATAATGGTCTCATGGCACTTTAAGCACCAATCTGGTTGGCTGTAGATTGAACAATTGTCAGTGCAGATCTCTGTCATGCTTTTGTACCTGATCCAAATTGAAGCCAATTAGATGAAAAAGAAAAGTAGACTTGGACTTGATAAAAAAACTTTAGTTGCTTCCATGTGACCAATCGACTTTTACTTGATCAGCAAACTTGATAAATTCATCAAAATCTTTTCTACCATTATATACAGCTTAAAACATCCCAAGAAATTAGACCACAGTAGACCACTTCCCTATTTTATTTTTGGTGTTGCTTCTTCTAAATCTTCCTTCTGGTTTCTCGAGTAATTTAGGACCCTTCTTCTAATGGTCAGCTACATTTTCTCCGACTACTTGTGAAGAGACATTTGGCTGACAAGCATACGCACTCTGTGGGGTTAAGATCTCAGATATAGATAATGGAATCAGAGTTATTACCTACATAACTAGGACATCTCTAAGCAGATCAAACCTGAAAAACCAACAATCAAATAAAAAGAATCTAAGCCCATCAAGAATAAACCTTAATAATCAAAGACCCAATTGAATCCTAACTTAATTCAGACACCAAATATCCATCATCAGGTGAAAGGTCAACCCATTTAGCCTTAAGCCATTCTAAATGTCACCATAATTTTCTTCATAAAATCCAAGAAATTTCATGTCTCCATGAGTTGTTTTTGAGCCATTTTAATACTCATATCCTAGGGAAGTCTATCGACATGTTTGTTCTATGTTAGTTACTTAGATTCACTCAAGCTTCTCCCACAGTCTGACTTGCAGCCTTTGTAGCTGGTAACTCAATATCAGTCCGAAAATGATCTACTAATTTTGCATTTCTTTTTCAGCATTCAATCAACTATGACAAATAAATCCATGGAAAACAGCCTTGACCTTTTCTGCAACCAGTGGTTCAGAAAAGATATTAAAATAATAAAAAGCATTACAGATGGACAAACAAACAAAAGAAGTTGCACTGTTGGAGTCGAAGACCATAGAAAGTCACAAGAACACTATGGTGTAACATATGTTAAGAGCATGATAGCTTAAGAACCAAATCATAGTTCATCAAGTGCACTTTGAGTTTGTCATTTCGTGAATGATTATGCTAGCAATAGAAATGATGGTCTGAACTTTGTACATTAATATAACTTGAAAGTTTGATGCTATAGGTGATCAATCCTTTAAAAGTGTACCAATTCAGGAAGTATTCCATGTAAAAGCAATTATGTGACAAATTTTCAATAAGTTGTTCTGTAGACAGTTTACACCTACCATTTCACAATAGATTTCTTTGAGTTAAATTTAAAAACACTAGAATAAGAAACAATTTACCTGTAGGATCAATGTTCTAGCTGGAAGTTGTACTCAGAAAAGCTAAAATTGTTTGTGAACATATCAATAAAGAAATCTGAACCATCTAACACAAATAACAAATTAGACCAAGATTTCATCAGTATTATTATTATTATCTAATGTTGTCCAAAGAGACCCATGCTGCTTAAATTATCGAACCAACTTATAAACAACATAGACAATTCACAAGGAGCCTCAGAAAGCAGAGATCCCAATTTACAGGGTGTAGCAAAATCAATGTAAAAGGCTTCCTTGATTACAAATGTAAACAAAAGCATCCATTGAGCAGATCTGTACTCACTGTTAGCTTGCCATTTGAGTATTAGGCAGAAAAGTATAGAAGTTACCAATCTCAATCTAATCAATGAATTGAAAAGAGGATAAATCAGTACAACTATATGCTTTTCAGGCCAAGAAAGGAAGCATCACAAAAGGAAACATGATAGAGGGATTATGGGTCCACCATAATTTGGAGCATTGCTCCTCCAATAGGATAGCAGTTCAATTCCTATAGGTAGATTCATGTATTCAATAATTGAGCTATTACCTTACCCAAAGGATTGAGGCCTCAACCATACCGACCAAAAAACGAAAATGATAGGACCAAATTGAATACCAGCTCAATTAAACATGATGTGTGATATTTATGAGATCTAAAAATGAAGAAAAAAAAAGTGCCAAGCAGGTGTGAAGTTAAGCAATTTTAACAACATACAAATTTTATTAACAATCTAGAACCATCAAAACAAGGTGAATTTAGATAGGTATACACAGTCTAACATTGTTATGCTAATAATTAATAGTCTAGATGCTCATTTTTACTTGCCTTTTCTTGATGAACAAGAAAAACTTCTCAAATTGTGTGGATGCTGGCTTTAGCTTATTTTGTCCATGTAAATCATGTTCGGTGAGTTGATGTATGCTTGAGGCAGCTTATAATCTACTTAAAACACTGTTTATAATCACAAGTGAGAAACTGACTGGTAAAAAAAAAAAGGCAGAATCAATAGGCTATTTCTAGAAAAGTACATATGAGAAGAGATCATCTTCATTTGTGATCAAACTGCATATCCCATTCTACTCTTGAATACGCCTTAACTCTTAACTAGTTATCTACACACATTCCATGTTTCTCCAAATCGAAAAGGAGAAGAATTTTGGCAGGTGTGATCGTGGATTACCTTGAAGCAGCCGTTGACAATGGAGTCCTTGCTCCATTCGATGCCGAGATTCTTGTTGGTGGTGTGGTAGGTGGCCTCGAGGGAGTCTTCCCCCTCGAACTTCCTGGTGAGGGCGAAGTCCCAGGCGTTCTTGGACACGTCCTAGCAGGGTTCCAGCACAGTCCGCCGAAGCTCCCCGTGTGCGTAGATGTACTTGACCTTGCAGGCGCCAGGCGTGCCGAAGGAGTAGCTGACGGAGACCTTGTTGGAGAAATCAAGGGCAACGGAATCATCGACGGCCGCCCGGTTGTCCCTCGGCGCGTGGGTGTAGGTCAGATTCACCGTATTCTCCATCAGCCGGATTGAATTCATGAACTGGAACCGAACATCTAAAGACGAAGGGAAGGGAGAAAGGATTAAGCGGTCGATAAATCGATCAAGGTATGGAATGAATGGACAGGTAGATGGACCTTGGTGGGAAGGTGGCAGTCGAGGATGAATGCGCCGGGCTTCTCGAGGGAGAGGACGAAGGTGGCATCGGATATGGAGGCCTGGAGGCGGACGTCGCCGGCATCGATGGCGAAGGTGGCCACGGCGCTGGCGCTCTCGTTCACCTCGTATCGGCCCTTCAGCGTAGCCTTCATCACTCCTCTCTAACTCCTACTCCTCTCCGAGGGTTTGGGATAAGGAGAGACGGAGAGAGGGGAGGTTGCTATGTGGAGTCCGCCGGCTGATAAGCTACAGCATGGGCGCAGGAGAGAAGCGCGCTTTGTGAGTCTGCGTGTGTGTCGATGGCCTCTTCTACTTATCTGTTTATCTTCCCCCATAGTTTCCAAGGTTTGCGCAGACTGAGAGGGAAGATATGTATCGAAACGTGCGGCATAACGCCACAGATTTTTTAGGTGTAGAAATGTTACCCGCGCACTCTTTGGTCATAATACTACAGTAAATACAAATGACTCAACGTTGATTAAAAATAATCGTAAACTCAAAAATGCGATACGACTAATTATAGATTATCTGTGAAGTTAGTTATCTTTAATTTCTCGATACTTTTACTTAAAAAAGTCATATTGATATTTCTATAGGTATAAAAGTTTCTATAGGTATAAAAGTGAAACATTTAGATCTAATTATCCTAACGCCATCGATTTTTTCAAAAAACATAAAAATGAGAGACGACGTCGTTGAAAGCTGTGGATGACTGTTATGAATGAAGAGAACGACGATAAGAGATGAGGATTGCTCGACAACTACGTTGACGACGAGTATGACGATGTCTGTCGAGAACTCGATAACTGCTCGCCTACCAACCTTTCAAAGCTTTTCTTCCTATCGATAACAATCGTGAAGAATAAAACTCCTCCTCCAACGAGCCCCTCATCTCCTCTTTTTCATGCTCATGTCAAAACTAACACAGTAACGAGAGGAGCGATAGAAGCTTTGGCAACCCAAACTTCGGGTCGAGCAATCCACCCAATGAGTCAACAACAAGACAACCACCATCTTCGTCGTAAATGCCTCAATAGTTAGCACCATCTACCCCAAAAAACCATCGATACAGGTGTCAAGCGATTCTTTCATCGCTAGGCAACTACATCGGTGTTGACAATTTATAACTAACAAACGATTTTGATCAAGCATTCAATATTGTAACCGTAAAGGATATCATGCAACAGAGAAAAGATTGCAAAATCAGGCAATAGGCATACATACTCATTATCCATCGTGGCACAAGCCAAGCTGACTTGCTACAGGAGGCATAATAAACTACACCGCATCTTTGACCCACTCGAAACAAGAACGTTTCGTTTTGCCATACTTTGTGACAATCTCAATGAATCAAAAATGAACTACAACAGGGTAGAATGCACTTATTATGAGTGATCCCAGGAACTCGACAGCGGCAAACTCTTAAATCTCTATCCATCCTCTTTTGGGCGAAATAGAGGTGAAAGAGATCATCACATTGACAATTATTATTGGGAAACATAAGCCAGCACCTCTGGTAACAAAGTTTAGTCTCATACAGCTACAGCAACTGCTTCATCCAAAGCAACAACTCCTGGAAGCTCCTTGCCTTCCAACAACTCCAAGCTAGCTCCACCACCAGTTGATATGTGACTCATCACATCAGCAACTCCAACTTTCTCGACTGCAGCAACAGAGTCTCCACCTCCAATGATCGTCGTCACCCCCTTCCCGCTGAGCTCTGCCAACTTCTTTGCAATTGACTGCCATGTCAACACAATCAGCCAAGCTGTCTTTATAGGTGTATAAGTGTTAAATGCAAAGTTATAGAAACTTTATTCAACATTATCAATAATTTAAAACCTACATCAGTCAAACCGTATTGAGTAGAAGACAAATTATCATTTACCTCAGTTCCCACAGCAAACTTGTCAAACTCAAAAACTCCCATGGGACCGTTCCAAATAATGGTCTTGGTTGTATCCAATGCATCACTAAATGTCTTAACTGAATCCGGTCCAATGTCCAACCCCATCCAACCATCAGGGATTTCAGACGCTGGCACAACCTGCAAACAGAATCGTCATTCGTTCATCACCAATTGTTGTTGTTTTCTTCACTAGTAAAATATAGTTGAAGCTGTTAACTTGAAATCCACAAACCATTATAGTGAGAACTTTAAGTTTAGACTACATGAGATGTGTGATAATCGATAGTTTCCTAAGGCCAGTTATGAATTTTAATGAAGATATTAAATTAGCAAACCTTGCTCTCTGCATCAGCTGCAAATTTATCTGCAATAATGACATCAGTTGGTAACAAAAGAGACACGCCCTTCGCTTTGGCTTTTGCAAGAAGTGATGATGCAAGCTCAAGTTTGTCGTCTTCTACCAAAGAAGAACCCACTGAGAAACCTTGTGCTTTGTAAAATGTGAATATCATCCCGCCACCGAGAAGAAGGATATCACACTTCTCCAACAGTGATTCAATCACCCCAATCTTAGATGATACTTTTGAGCCACCTACAATAGCTGCAAATGGTCTCTTGGGGGTTGAAACAGCACCAACAAGATAATCAAGTTCCTACAATTACATGGAAGAATCAAGGTTAGGAAAACAAACATACAACAAGTATAAAAAATGGTAACCATTTGAAGTCTGCAAATCTAGAGCAACACGCATTAATTAAAGTACAGAACTGAAGAATTCAAAATCATATCAGCGTATACAGGACTTCCAAAGAAAATATATAGGTCTCCTAAGTACACATGCCTGACAATTTGGTATTAATGTCTATAGTCACCTTTTGCAAAAGAAAACCAGCGACGGAGGGCTTCAGGAACTTGGTGACACCCTCTGTTGATGCATGTGCTCTATGGGCCGTTCCAAAAGCATCATTCACATAAAGGTCAGCTAGTGCTCCAAGCTTCTTTGCGAATTCAGGATCATTTTTCTCTTCCTCTTTATAAAATCTAACATTTTCAAGAAGTAGAACGCCACCTTCAGGTAGAGCATTAACCAATTTTTCAACTTCTGGTCCAATACAATCATCTGCTTTCTCAACCTGTTTGTCATAAAGGAATTCATAGTAAAACAAGACACTACAATTATGCACTTCACATAAACATACAAGTTAAAACATGAACATACCTTGATTCCAAGTAGTTCAGAAAGCCTAGGCACAATTGGGTTCAAACTGAATTTTGGTGTGACACCCTTCGGGCGTCCCTGATTTGGCAGATAACAAAAATGTGAGTTCAGAGTCAATGGTTGTAGCTAATTGAAGAACAAAATACAAATTAAAGAATTGTCTATCAAAGTCCAAAATGCATTGTGATACATATATCACAAAAAAGATAGCCATAACCAGAATCTTTGCAATCAACTTAAAGTTGTATGCTATTGTCACATTTCATACTTATAAAAGTTAGATATTTAACTGAAACCACAGACTTACAAATATGTCTACATGGATTACCACACACTGTCGAAAAATTTTCAAAACAGATAGAAGCTTAAATAATACACCAGAAACTTCAAAAGTGACAGTTAATTGGCATCATTTACTAGATCTCCAGGTACGGGGACAAATTTAGTCCACACAGTGCAAAGGCAGAAACTTACTTAATCAAGTATCTCATGTATAAAGCCTACACTATATCCGAAAGAATAAGCAAAAAGCAACCATATATATTTCTCATGTGGATAAAATGTATGAATTGAGGGGGGAGGATAATAAAAAAATTATATTAGTTTCATCACAAATATAAGAGAACCAAGAAAAAAAATCTGCAGTTTCCTAGTAAATTCTGTCCTTTCAGATTAATTTGATATAGAAATACAAAAATGCTTTGTGGATTGTAGTAATACTGAAGAGAAGTAATGGGCATTATAGTTCCCATTGCTGTCATGGTAGTATGTTTGCAGAAAACTGAATGCTGCAAAATCTGATATCCTAACAAGGGTAGAGGACCAAAGGGCAATTCATGCCATGCATAACAACTTGGATAACTGAGGGCATAACATCGAAGAAGATCCATTGTTAATGTCAAAGACTAAATGATCATATGAAGTACCATATTCTGGGCAATCACTATATCAAGCGGCCAATAACATAATTCCGAATCATCAAGAAACAAATGAGTTGACCGAGAACGGGAACATCTCACCAGATGACTGGAGAGGATGACTTTGGCCCCATTGCTGATCAAGTGCTTGATGGTGGGCACGGCCGCTCGGATCCTGGTGTCGTCGGTGATGTTGCGGTTCTCGTCGAGGGGAACGTTCAGATCCGCCCGGACGAATACCTTCTTCCCCTTGAGGTCGGCGGCGGTGAGGTCCCCCACGCTCTTCTTGGCCATGGACGCCACCCCGCGCGACCCCTTCCCGCTCCTCCCGGCCACGGACCTGATCTTCGCCGCCACGTGCGCCGCCAGAAGCGGGTCGGCCGCGGCCCCGGCGAAACCCAGCCGCCGAAGCGGCGAACGGAGGGCTACCGCGCCGGAGAGTAGCGCCGCCGCCGTCGTCGACCGCCTGCGGGAGGAGGTCGGGAGGAGGGAGAAGGAGGTGGCGGCGGTGGAAGCCATGGATCGTAAACTCTTCGCAAAGGCGAGAGCGAGAGAGAGAGAGAGAGAGAGAGAGAGAGAGAGAGAGAGAAGCCAAGCAAGGAGGTCGCGGAGACACGAGTGATGGATTAAAAAGTAAGGAGGAGGGGGAATGTGATGTGGAGCAGAAGCGGGGGTTCGTGGATTTTTCTTATCGCTGAAGAGCGGTGGAGAGCGAGGGGTTCGATGAGAAGATTTGGGCTTCGTTTGTGGCGTGGGGTGGGAGAAAGGAAGGTGGAGATGACGAAGTCGTGGACTCAATTTAGCATGGCTTCCCTTCTAATATTCTATTACATAAATCGTAAACCTCCACAATATAATAGGGTTTATTGCATAACATTTCTTATTTTAAACCTCCGAAATTGTATTTTTAATAGTAACTAAATCCAATAAAAATAAATTTGCATACATATTTATATGTACACATATTTCCTCAAAAGTTAGCGGTTCTACATTTACCATCAATTATATGTTTTATATGCCATTGAAACTCCAATTTACATTTTTATGTGTTCCTAAATTTGATCAAGCGAATGTTTTAGATGGATGTTAAAGGTAGAGTGGCCTATATAATTGGAGAAAGAAGTATATTATATTAAATTCTATAATTGGATTACTAAAATTTCAATTTTAACGCATTTAAAATTTCAAGAAGATGAACGCCCATTATTTAACTATAGAGGTTAAAATTAATAATTAATTATGACCACCACAA